GCCAAGACCTGCCATGTAGGTGAGTCACTGGGCCCACCTGTGGTCAAGACCTGCCATGTAGGTGGGTCACTGGGCCCACCTGTAGCCAAGACCTGTCATGTAGGTGGGTCACTGGGCCCACCTGTGGCCAAGACATGTTATGTAGTTGAGTTGCTTGGTCCACCTGTAGCCAAGACACTGGGCCCACCTGTAGTCAAGACGCGTCATGTAGGTGAATCAATGGGCCCACTTGTAGCCAAGACGCATCATATAGCAGAGTCGCTGGGCCCACCTGAGCCAGGAGGATTTTCTTTCTTCCACTCACTGGAGTCACATTTTTCTTTGAAAAGAATGAGCTTAATGTGATCCCCAGTGTCCTGAGTTTACATAACTCTGTTTTTTCTCATTGCACTTTTTTCTTCTAAGTTTTCATTATAGCCTCATTTTTACATGTCAGGTATTTGGTTTTGTTTACAGTTTGTACAAAAAAATTCAACTAAAGCCTAAACTTATGCAAGATCTTAGAGCTAGTCCCTGTAAAGTTGATTCAGGTTTCAAGTGGCCGTGTCAAATATCAGATCTTAAGGGACAGGGCTGTCTAAAAACTCAACCCCCAGATGTTTGGAGCCCCTGCTCAGGGCATGCCCTCACAAGACACTCGCACTGGTGTGACATTGACTGGAAACCAGCCAGCCCCTCTGACTCTGAATGAGTGAAGGTACATTCTCCTGTTTCCCATCGTGCTGCCAACTCACTTTTTCCCATCTTTAGTTGGATGTGCCTAAGGCACTTGACTGCTAACCAGAAGCCTGACGGTTCAAACTCACCAGCCGCTCCTCAGAAGGAAGGTTGGGCAATCCACTTCCGTAGTGATACCGCCTCAGAAACCCAAGGAGGGGTCACTATGAGTCCGGTCCAACTCGAGGGCACATACCAGTTGGGTGTAAGTCGTGGGCAGAAGCTGGGAGGATCTTCCTTGGGTCTTCTTGAAGAAGCAGGTTTGGGTTCAGTGATGTTACTATTCAGTGATGTTACTATTGAGCAGGACTGGGAACCAGTTCAATCCAGTCTAACCCCCTGTTGAGATATACTGAATCTGAGTGTACCTTTTAACAAGATCCCCAGGTGAATCTTACAGGTACTGAAGAGTCACCTTTCCTGTTAAAAGGCAGACTCCAACTCTGCCTGGGGTGGATATGCAAATTCTCAGAGGTAGAGCCGGAATTAGCCAGTTCAGAGCCCCCACCCCCCACTCCTGGGCTCCCACCTGGAGCTTCCTCTCTGGGCCCCCAGAGGAGCCCCTCCTGTCCCAGGAGGAGGGCCATTGGAGGCCTGTTTGCTCTGCTCCTTAGCTGTGCTTTACAGAAACTCGTCTGTGCTGTGTATGCAGACTACGCCCGCAGCCTGAAGCACCTGGGCTTTAAGCAGGGAGCCGTTCTGTTTGCTTCCAAAGCTGGGGCTGCTGCCCGAGACTTACTGGCTGAGCTCGCGTGCCCCAAGGAAAAGCCTGCGGAAGACTGACGGCCACGCACCCGGCCTTGGATGCGGGGCCGGCCTGCGGTCGGACTGGCTGTGGTCATGGTCAGGCCTGATGGACGGGGAGGCCCAGGCCGCCCTTCGAGCGTGGCTTCTCCTCGGGCAACACCTTGCGAGCTGCCACTCCGCGTCTCTAAGGCCACGTGTGCACAGCAGCAGCTGAGCGTCAGCAGTGGACGCAGGCCCTGTGTCCTGCACTCCCACGGCCGCCTGGGAACGTCTTATGCACAGTTTAGGAGAGCTTTAAGAGGCCCTAGAAATTCTTCCTGTTTTTTTTTAGTTTACAATTCAGGAGCTGAATTGCTGTTCTCAAGGCAGATGTAGGGATGTTTGAAAACTCTGTCCTGAGCCAAGCTCATGAGCCCTGTCCTCAGGCTCTTGCTGAGCTGCGGTTGTGTCCCTTGTTTCGGGAGGCACAGCCAGGCATGTCTGCTAGACGGCTGAGCTGAGCAAGGCGGTCTCTGTTTTCTTCCCTTGAAAACAGCACTGCTGATGCCTCGGTGCAGCAGGGGTAGATTTTGTCCTTCGGGCTCCTGGGCTCTGTTTTGTTCCAGGAGGCAGGTCTTCAGTATTTTGGGTTTTAACCCCTTCTGCGATCACCAAGGCAGCCTCTCTTCTAATTCTCTCTTTGTGCTTAAATTTCTGGTCTGTTCTTCCAGCAGCTGAAATACTGTTATAAATTATTGCAAAGAATTTAAATGTCAGAACTTAGAGAGGTGACAAATAAAAAGACGATTCCGTCCAGGCCTTTGTGTCCTCTGTGTGTGAGGCCAGGAGCCCTGCCTGCCCCCCACGCCCATGCTGTGCCTTCTCTATCAGTGCCACCTGGCTGTGGGAACTCCACGCACCCACGCAGCAGGACTGAACACCAGGGGCCACTAGCTCACAGGATGTACCCCGGAAAACTAACAGGGACCCAATGAGTTGACCAAACAAGGCGTTCTCAAGCTTCTGCGCTGTGGCTGTGCGTGGCCATGCACATCAGAGGCTTGGAGGAGTCCTGCAGTAAGGGGTCTTAGCCCGCGTGAAGCACGTTTGATCAAGGTACCCCTGACCACTTCCCCACCTTGCTGTCTTCTGCCCGCCTGTCTGCCTGCCTCCCTCTCTGCTTCCTTCACTCCCTCCTCCCCTCCTTCCTCCTTCTCTTCTGTAGATTAACACCACGGGGCCACGCTGAGACTAAAGTAGGGCTGGGATGCTGTTCTCAGTGGGACGGCAGTGAAGCCACTCTCAGCAGGGTTTCTGGTGGACCCAGTGAAACGTCTCCACAGGGCTCTCTTCAACTGATCTAACTTTGGTTTACGCAAAAGGATTTCATATCTCTTCCCAGAGAGAAGCTAAATGCTTTATGTACATGAAGCTGCAATTTAGATCATCAGACAGTTTTTCCAGGCCCAGAAGTTTCCTAGGGAAGGAAAAAAACACAGTTAAACCGAACAAGGAAACGAGAGAAGGGCAGCCCTGGGAGGAGCCCTTTCCGGCTCCTGAGTGACCCGTGGCCCCGCGGCTTTCCTCCTGTCTCAGCCTCGCCAGCGGGGGGCCTCGGCTCTGGATCCTGAGGGGTCGTCCTGCTTCCGCTCACGCACCTCCCGTGATGGATGCTCCCTGCCTCCCAGGCTGTCCCTTCTGTGACTCAGCTCCCACCAGCAGGAACAGCCCCCTCCGGCCCCGAACACAGAACCCAGCGTGACGGTGAGAGCCTGCGCTCCGGCTCCAGCTGCCGGGGTTGGAGTCCGGCCGGGCGTGGCTGGGCAGCGTGCCACACCTCCTGTGCCTCAGTTCCCTCATCTGCCGCGTGGGGCTGTGTCGCACCGAGCCCTACCGTGTGCCACCTAACAGGAGGGGCACTAGGTGATGCCAAGCTCTTACAAAAGTATTGGGCGGCTGAGTCAGGGACGGAAAAGCCCTGCTGACCCTGGTGGGTCTGCACAGGAGAGTGGGCGTCCTGCAGGAGCTCCACCCTCAGCCTCTCAGAGGGCAGGCTCCATCCATGAGCACCTGTGCCAGGTAAGCCTCACCAGTTCATGGTGGGTGCTGTGGGCCCCTTTCACCCAAGAGTGCGTGAAGGCTCCCTGTTCTGACCGGGTCACAGGAGGTGGCTGCAGACAGTGGGAGCAAAGGCCTAACAGCTCGAATACTTCAAAAAGCCCAGATGAACTGGACCAGCTGGAACCAGAAGGCTCCTCGTGACTGCTGCCCTGAGACCCAGTTGATAATGATTTGTCAGGACAATTCTGGTTTCTCGTGGGGCAACGTTGTTTCACACATATGCCAAACAGGCCGCAAAATAAACAGTCAACAGCAACTTCACAGATGAAGGAAAAGAAACCTTTTCTCTTTGCCCTTTGTAACCGTCTCCTACAAAACAACCACAGTAGGCTAAGTAGTGTACAAAAATGTTACGGGAGTGATCAGAGTCAGAAAGAGATGGTATCTTCTCGTTTTTGCCTTTTCTTTTTACACAAGGTTTTTGTTTTTCTCCTCTGAGATTGTAATGAGCACGGTCACCACAAGTCAGGTCTGAAGTAAGACAGAGAATCTCTGAAGGCTGGTCACCCAAGAGCGTACCAACGGCTGACCCTGCAATGTGTACAAAAATATAAAATGCAAACCAAAGAGAGAGTTTCCTTCTGTAAGGTCACGGCGAGAAGAGGACGCACAAAAGTGGTGTCAAAGAGAAGTTTTTATTCTGCGCTCCCGGGCGAGGTTTACGGGGCCAGAGAGGAGCCCGGACGAGGTTCCCGGGTCCCTGAGAGGGGCCTGAGAGGTCGCACCTCCCGCCCGGGTGAAAGAAAAGGGTTTTTATAGTGTTACTTTTCCTGTTCCTCAGCGGACAGACCAGACGGATTGAGAGCAGGGTATGTGTTACAGGAACCAATGAGGTTAAAGCACCCTATTAGCATGGGGGCAGGGAGCAGAGCTGAAGCACTTCATTCGCATGTTGTTATTTGTCATCCAGTCGGCCCCGACTCATAGCGACCCCTCCTTGGGTTTCCGACTCATAGCGACCCCTCCTTGGGTTTCCGAGGCAGTAGCACTGTGGAAGTAGGATTGCCCAACCTTCCTTCCGAGGAGTGGCTGGTGGGTTTGAACCGCCAGCCTTCTGGTTAGCAGTCAAGTGCCTTAGGCACTACGCTACCAGAGCTCCCCTTCATTCGCATAGTGGGCAGGAAATGGTTAGGGGCTTTCCTGAGTAAGAGTCAGGTGCTGAGTCTTCCGTAAGTAAGGGTTACGTGCTGGGGTTTGGTATGGGCTCTGGTCAGGCGCTTCCTTGCTTGACCAGTTCTTATAATTCCCTCCGGCTCAATCATTCACCCGCCTGGCCTGACTCCCGCCTAACACTTCCCTAGAGTACTTTAAGAAAAAAGGCAGAGCCGTGGAAGTTTGGGTTCTTTTTCCTCCCGTGCTCCCAGTTCACGTGTGGCTTTGGGTGGGTGATGGAGAGCCATGTCTGCGGGTGCTGCTGCCGTGATGGGCAGGGGACTCACCGGTCACCACGTTTAGATTCTGACGTGGGAGCTAGGTCACCATGGCCTTTGTTTTCAGTTGCCCTTTTCCCTCCTGGCTGTCCAGTCCTCCTCGGCCTGCCACTGCTTGGTGTCCACAGTCACCCCATCGCCTTCAGCCGCCTCATCTTCTCTCCATCCTCTTCCTCATCATCACCTTCCTCCTCCTCTTGCTCCTTGCCTGCTTCCTTTTCTTCACCTGCCTCGTTGTGGCCTCCTGGTCCCCATTTTCCTCAATAGCACTCTCATTGGCAGCACTCCCTTCTGTTCTCCATCTGCAGTCTCCTTCTTTAAGTCCTTGGCGATGACCCTGCAGCTGGTGTCATGGCTACAGCTGACACGGTGGCGCACGCCAGGGGTCCATCTAGTGCAGCGAGGCAGTGGGTTACAGCAAAGGTGTCTGGTGAGAAAGCTGCCACGGTCCACGGGGACTGCAAAGGTGGCTTTTCAGAGCCGCCAGTGAGCCCTGAGACACTAACCCCTGAACCAAACTGTCCCCTGAGATCGCCTGTTAGCACAGTAGTGGAGTGGCACACAAAATACGGATATTAGCATGAGTACAGTGCTCTGTCAGCAGCCCCCTGCGTGGGCCCAAAAAGTCAAGTTACTCCCCGGCGAGATGAAGAGACCGTAAGGGAGCAGGGCAGCGGAGCAGGACACTTCATCTGGCAGTTGCAGGCTGAGCCCTGCCGGGTCCTGCCAGGAGGAAGGCCCAGAAACCAGGAGGGGCAGGATTGAAGGACTGTCCTCAGCCTCACACTGCAGCAAAGAGCACGGGTTTCACAGTTTTTCTATAACTTCCTGCAAAGCTGGAACGAGTGATACATTTTGTTCCAGTCCTAGTCTCAGAGGAAGGTCCCCCTTGCCTCCAGAAACAGCGGAGGAGGCCTCTGAACCCCACATCCCTGCGCTTACATGGCCCATCACACTACACGGTCACGTGGAGCTCCATGTCCGGTCTCCTATATGGCCCGGGCCGCATGTCCCTCAACTTGCAGGACAGGCTTTGCCCCCAGCAGTATCGCCAGCATTTTCTATAATGCTGGACACTTCCAGCATCTGCTTTGATAAGTCGGAGTCCAGGACAGTCAGTCGTCGTTTTTCCTAACGGGTCATGGTTCTGCTGTGAAAAGATGCAGCTCCGCGGCTCGCTGGTCCTTGTGCCGTGAGTCTTGCCTGAAGTCTCCTTTGTTAGAGGTGAGATTGGCAACCCCACTTACTTTTTACAGGTTTGTGTTCTTTGCTGTTTAACCTTTTGTGTCCTTACAGACAAGGTGTGTCCCTTCTTAGTCCCATTCAGTTGGGCTTCAGTTTTTCACTCCCTCCTAATTGAGGTGCTGCAGCTTTACTTACTAGGGTGTCAGCTCTGTGTTTCCACTTCAAGCCACCATCTTATTTGCCTTCTATCTTCCTGGTCTGTTTTAGGATCCTCTTCCCTCCGTGTCTTTTTAGACCAAGTGTATTATTCCATCTCCCTTCTCCA